CTGAACCAATTTGTTATCTACAGAAGCTGTGGCCTTGCACTTACTTCTGATCCAAGGAGCTCTGGACTAGCCAAGAGGAATTTTAACTATAAATTTAGTGGAGACTCACCTCTTTGCTTAGCCAAGATATTTGGTTTCCCTTTTAATGGATTTGAGAGAAAAAGAAGTGTTTGTTACATGTGACTCTTTGGAAAACTTCAATTGTCTCATCCTTCAAGCATAATTGACCAAATCTCTTGGCAAGCTATGTTAGGAGAAACCAAACCTCACATTTCTGTATGTCCCCAAATTGAAGGATACATTAATCATTCATAGAAATAAAGATGCAAAATGTGGATTCCCCTCATTTAAAGAACCCATCTTTACAAATTTGAGGAACCCTCAGTCTTGCCCTTTCCATTTCTGTTTTATCTGAAATGAAAATCCATTGGCATGTCCTTTAAAGTCCTCTGAAGTATTGAGTCATGGATTATACTGGATTTAATATTGACATGTGAAAGTAGTTAGGGCAAGGAAAGATCTTATATCCTGATGTCCAGTCCTGCCACAATGATACATTTTAATATATTTTCTCACTGGCTTTTGCTTGGTATACTTTATTTCAATCACATCTGAACTCTTGTTTTTTGTATTTGTATAGATTTGTTGCCTAAATAAAGGTATATTAAACATTTCTGGGGCGCAAGAGAATTAAGACTGCTTATATTTTAATAAGGCAGTCATAGTAAATATGGGGACTTATTGTCAAAGATGAAGTTGATTGCAACATGATTATGATTAGTTCTTAAGCAACATCTCACATGTGACCAAGACACCTGCCTTGTGTACAAAGAGATCACATCGACCACAAGACCTAAATGACATTGGTTCTTATCCTACCCACTCTGGCAGGACTTAACATTGTTAAATATTCTGGGAGTCTCCAGGATGCTTCTCCCACGTGTGCCTAAATGAAATACTCTCTAGTCTGGCACTGCTGCTGCTCTGTCCACCCCACAGTGTACCCTTTGGGTCCTGTTGCCTCCTGCTGGATTCCGGTGCCATATCTGGGTCTTGAGTCCTGATAGCCCAGGGTGTGGCTATCCTGATAGAACGGAGTGGTATCTGCGAGGGGGGAAAGAGTGCCCCTCTTTGAGCTAGGAGTTACTTTGCTATAGTGGGGTGCCAGTCGCTAATTTCCCAATGTACCACCAGTGCTTTTTCCTTTTAATTCACTTGCATTCCACAGGACTCAGGTCCATATCTGATCCACTAGGGGTGGGCTTGGGGAATGCTGTTATTATTATTGTAGACAGCTAAATATTATTGAGCATTTACTCTGTGCTTAGCTGTGTGATCAGCCCATTTAACAATTATTCCTTTTAACTGTGTACAAGTAGATTATATTATAATTTCCATTTTATAGTCGAGAAGACTAAGGTTTCGGGGGTTAAATAATTAGCCTGGGCCTCCCCTGGTGGTGCAGGCGGTTGAGCACTGTGCTGTGAAGCTGTCCGCAGCCTCTGCAGCACCAGTTCAATCCCTGCCGGCCAGCGAGGATCCCACATGGTGTGGCAGACCTCTCCTGTCACTCCCACTGCTCCCCTCAGCAGTGTGTTTCATCAGTCTGCCTGTTCTGTTCACCTCTGCCTCTGGTGAATCCTCTCACCCTCCCGCGCATTTGGCCTATACCCCAGTTCTTGTGTAAAATGAATAAATAAATCTTTAAAAAAAATAAATAATTAGCCCAAGGTTACCTACTCAATACTGAAAGTCTGGCTTCACAGCCATTAGTTGATCACCAAATCCAAATGTCTGACATTATTAAGTGTTTTCAGCATCACCTCTAGTCTCTAATAACCAAAACTTCTTTATTACATTTGTTCATGGTGACTGATTCTTCCTTTTACGACAAATTATCTTGCAGGAGGATCCTCATCCTCCCATCAAATAAATTCCAGTTAGGGTCTTCCTATGTCCAATTCATCTGACATATACAAATCTCTGCAAAGTTTAGCAAAAACAGTGTGATTTCTTTTCCCCAGGAGGCCTTTAAAGCAAGTAAACTTACTCTCATCTACAATTTTGCTAATTCCCAACTTAGGTTCAGATTGGGCCACTGACCACTGTCCCTCTTAAGCACAGTGGCTTGTGATTGGCATTGTTATTTTCAGAGATAGGTACTATTTGAACTCAATTACTAAATAAGGCAGTCATACTAAATATGGGGACTTTTTGTCAAAGATGAAGTTGACTGCAACATGATTATGATTAGTTCAGGGTTAACCTGATTTTTCAGCTATCTGTGGGTCAGTTTTATTTATTTATTTATTAAACATTTATTTATTTATGCATACCAGAGCTGGAGTGTAGGCCAGAAGTTTGGGGAGTGAGAGGACTTACTAGAGACAGAGTGGGGAGCAGAACAGGCAGATCTACCGAAATACACTGCTGAAGGGAGCAGCAGGTGAGACAGGAGAGGTCTGCTGGGCTATGTGGGTTAGCTCCCTGGTTGGCGGGGGTTGAACTCATGCCGAAGTGGATGTGAATAGCTTCATAGTGCTGAGACTTAACCCCTTGTACCCCCAGGGGGATCCCGGGTACAGTTTTATTTAAGTCTCCCTCTTTAGCCTCATATAGTATATATAAACATCCTATTTTTATGGGTAGGATTTTCATCCTCTTTTCCCAACAGTGAACATCCAGATAATTCATTGACTATCTTCGCCTCTGTTAACCAACCCTCCACACAATCTTTCTCTCCACCCTAATGCATAGCATTATTAACATATTCCAGTGAGGCTCAAGGCCCATGTAAATAATTCTACCTTGAAAATCTTTGGCTATTCAGGTCTCGGGCTTACTTTTGCTATACTAGTCACTCTTCATGTTTTGATCAGTACCCGTGGTGATGTCACCAGACTCCCTTCTCTATTGTGTGTCTGGAGAAACCTTGTCTTAGAAGCCCTTGCCCTAAGTCTCAGCACTGTCGAGCTGTTGGCAGCCACAGCAGTGTGGGTTCGATCCCCAGTAGGGGAACTGACCTGCAGACCGCTCCTCTCTGGCCTGCTGCTCCCCTCAGGGTGTGTTTCCTTGGATCTGCCTGTTATGCTCCCTATTCTGTCTCTGGTGGACCCTCTCACCCCCTGCACCTCTCTTGTATACCCCAGCTCTTGTATGCATAAATAAATAAAATAAATCTTAAAAAAAAAAAAAAAAGGCAAGGCTATTAGACAAAGCCCAGTTTGTCTTATCCTGCCAGGGAAAAGAGAGACCCCGCAGCTAGGAGTTCCCAGGGAAAACCAGCAGAAGAGGGGTATTCTGGTCAGAAGCAACAATGTCATTCTCTCCTTCAAACTTTTCAAATGTTTCCATGGCTTACTGGAAAAAATCAAGTTCCTTTATATAGCATAGTGAGGTCACTATAATACAGTCCCTACCCAAATTCTCTAGCTTTGCTGGCCACTGTTTCCCTATCTTGGCAGAGGCTAGGAGACAAGTCTGGTCAAGAAAAACGAGATTGGGGTTCACTTCCTCCATTCACTGACTAACCTGGGGGGAAGAAATCTCAGTGATGCTATTAAAGGGCCTCAACCTCAAAGAGTGGGTCCTTTGCCCTCTAGAGAAAGAATTCTCCAGAGAGCGCTGTTTGTAGCTGAACCAGACAAAACTTTTCTAGAGAGACTCATGGCCAAGGGAGCCAATTTGGGAAAGGAGAATAGAAAATAGAACCTGGCTGCCCAAAGGGAGTTAGAAGGAAATGTTCTTGGGTAAGTACACAGGGCTGGAGCTGGAGAGCTGCGACATAGCTTCTTCCTGGTTAGGCTGCTCTCCCTCCAGGAGCGAGTCAGAATCTAATGCTTTTGATCTACTTTGGGACCTCATGGTCAGTGTGGTGGGCCCAACTGTTTGGAGAGGACTAGCCTGTCCATGATTGAGCTCACCTGCTCAAACAGGACTTGGGGCAACTCAGTCTACCAGTTCCCAATGTTTTTTTTTTCTGTTTGTTTGAAAGCAATTTTTTTTTTAAAGATTTATTTTTTTATGTATTTATACATGCACTGGGTACAGTCAGAAGCACGGGAGGGTGAGAGAATTCACCAGAGCCAGAGCGGGGAGCAGAGCAGGCAGACTGACGAAACACACTGCTGAGGGGAGCAGCGGGCGGCAGGAGAGGTCTGTGCACCATGTGGGACCCTCCTCCGGTGGCCAGGGAGCAGCCAGGGATCGAACCGGAGCTGCAGAGGCTGCGGGCAGCTTTGCAACCCAGCACTCAACCGCTGCGCCACCGGGAAGTCCCTGTTTTTTTGTTTTTTTTTTTTTAACCTAGACATTTCACCCTGTTTTCTGTGTCTTCCCACACATTCAGTCTGATTGGTGGCGGTGCCACTTCACTTGCTCCCTTCCTGCCGCAGCAATGCAGACTCCACTGGCTTCTGTGGGCTGTGTTGCAATGGATGCTGAGGACGCCTCTGGGTATTGCTTTTGTGCTCTCCTCTCTAGTTCTCCTTTTTAATTCATAATTTCTTACTTATTTCTTTAAAGGCTTATTTTGTTTATTTATGTACACAAGAACTAGGGTACAGGCCAGAGGTGCCGGGGTTGAGAGGATTCACCAGAGAAAGAGTGGGGACAGAACAGGCAGATTGACAGAAATACACTGCTGAGAGGAGCAGCGGGCGTGACAGGAGAGGTCTGCTGTGTCATGTGTGTTAGCTCCCTGGCCAGTGATCAAACTTTTGCCATAGTGGCTGGCAATAGATTGATAGCGCTGAGACTAACCCCAGTGCCACCAGGGAAGTCCTCATAATTTTTTTTAACATGTTTATTTATACAGGAATCTTTTCATGCATAGGTCAGAAACTCAATCAAAGTAGCTTAAGCCTAAAAAGGGAATTTGTTAACTTTAACTGGAAAATTTAAGAGTAAAGCTGGATCCAGGGATCTAAATGTTATTATTTTTTCTCTTTCCCCTGATGTTTTGCTGCTCTCTGTATTGACCACATTGGCTCCTATTTCAGGATGTGTTCCCGTTGTGCCAAGGTGAAGGGCAGTGTGCCTGCAGACAGAGCTGAGCTATCATCCCATTCCAGTCACCAAATGGAGTAAGAGCTTCTTTTCTTAATATCTTTCTATAAAACCCTGAGGAAAGATTTGACTTGTTCTACTTTACTTGGTTGACCTTCCTGTGTCACTCCCTCACTCCACCCCATCCCTGGGGCTAGGAGGGAGGGGAGCAGGAAGGGTTGATCAGAAGCTGACCTCTGTGGTCAAGGAGATAGGGCACTGTGATTGGAATTTCCTTCAGAGCCACATAGAATTGGAGGGAATTATTAAAAGAAAATGAGGGTGTTATTATTAGAATATGCAGTAAAGGCGTGTTGGGCAGACCCCAAAAAAAGACAACCAAAGAGATACCTACTATCATGATCATTATTACTACTTCCACAACCATTACTAACCATTGCTGCTACCACCATCACTGTTTATTGAGCAACTACTGTGTTTCAAGCAAAAGGCAGATTCTGTCTGTACTTCTTTCTGAAAATTATATATGAGAATCACCATTTTATAGAAGAGGAAACTGAGGATTATAAAATTTAACACACTTGGTTGAAGTCATAGAACTAGTTGGTCTAGCTCTAGGTCCATGTACATTACAGTGTACCAAAACCTGCTTGGGGAGTCCTCTGTCAGTCATTTCTTATTAGTTATAGCTCAAAAAAAGACCCTGTGAAGGAGTGACTGGAAGGTGCATGATTTTTTAAAATGACCTTCAGTTACATTGGCTGACTTATGTTTTTATAATGTTGATGGTGCATTTTTATAATCTAATATGTGGAATAAGGTTAATGGATCAGTACTTTCCTCAGTGGGCTAGATGTGACTGCTGAGGTAGAGATGCGGAGGGCTGAGCTTTTTTTTAAAGGAAGGGGGCTGCACAAGCATATGCAGGAAGGCCAAAGCCCACCTGTGGACATTTTTAATTCAGTGTTGCAAATAAGCATTAAAAAATCCCAGAAGCTTACAGAGCATTTTGCACCTTTTACTTTGAACTGTTTAAGTTAAAAAATCATTTACTATTGGTTTGCCACTAGCTGTTAAAGACTTTAAACATTAGGGTGAATAGCAATCAAAAACCCAGAAATACAGTTTAGTCTTGACTTACGAGGCAACTAATGGGCTAAGGGAAGAAGTCAATTTTATTAAATATATATACAGTATATACTTAACATATTATATATCCTATGGGATACTTATATATCCTATGGGATACTTATATATCCTATGGGATACTTAAAAATATATTATATATGTATTTAAAGTGCTATATATCTAAAATGTGGCTCAGGGGTCTCCCTGGTAGCACAGGGCTTAAGTCCTAGCACTGTCAAGCTATCACCAACCACTGCGGCATGAGTTTGATCCCCAGGCAGGGAGCTACCCACATGGTCTAGCAGACCTCTCCTGTCTCACCAGCTGCTCCCCTCAGCAGTGTATTTCAGTCAGTCTGCCTGTTCTGCTCCCCACTCTGTCTCTGATGAATCCTCTCAGCCCCTGTACCTCTGGCCTACACCCCAGCTCTTGTATGCATAAACAAATAAAGACAACTCTTAAAAAAAATAAATAACACATGGTTCATTTATTCATTGAAGAAACCTAGAGTTGTTAGTATAGATCCTGGCCTCATTTTAATCATGTCTATTTGCTAGATGGGAGAGACTCAAGTTACTTCATAAACATTTATGTGACATACCTCCTTTTACAAATGCTTATACTCCTTCACTAGTGACTCTGTCATAAAAGGGTTAGAGTGACGGCAGTGTTATGGTCCATCATAGTGCTGTTCCCTTCAGTCCCTGCTGTGAGAGGGAGATCATATTTCATTCTGCCCTCCTGGCCAGGGATGGGCATCCAGGCCAAAATGAATCAGGCTGTAGTTTGAACAATGGCCTGTAGTATGACTAATACTAAGGACTGCCCAAATTGTTCTGAAGGTCACCACACTGGAATAAGTAATTTCTTTGTCTGTAAGAGAATCAAGATAGATAGAGTGGTTGGTTGTGGGAGCAGGAGTTAAAGATATAGAGAGGGCATTCTGCAGATGCAGATGCTATAGGCCTCAAAATCCATAGGTAAGCCAACGTCAGGAAAGAGAGGAAGGGCATGTGCAGCCCACAGCCACACAGCCTGAGTTCCTTAAATGGGGTTTCCTTGGTGAGTGCCCTTGGGAAATACATCTTTATCCTCTGTTGGATAGTTGCATCTTTTTTTCTTTTAGATTTTTTTTTCATTTATGCATACAAGAACTGGGGTGTAGGCCAGAGGTATGTGTGGGGGTGCGGTGAGAGGATTCACCAGAGACAGAATAGGGAGCAGAACAGGCAGACTGACTGAAATATACTGCTGAGGGGAGCAGCGGGTGAGACAGGAGAGGTCTGCTGGGTCTGTGGGTTAACTCCCTGGTTGGGGCTTGAACTCATGCCACAGTGGCTGGCAATAGCTTGATAGCACTGAGACTTTAATCCCCGCACCACCAGGAAGGCCTGGAGAGTCACATCTTAATATACTAAAGACACCAAGAATCCCATTGCTTTTCTAACGTTAACTCAGTATTTCTCAGACTTATTTAACAGTAGAACTCTGGCCTATTAACATTTCACCTGCTAATGGTGTCCTATGGAATGGAAGTTAGAGTAGGAGCTGGCATGTGTGTGGGAGCAGAAGGAGCGGGGTGGCATAGAAATAAAGAACCATCTCTGTGCCCATGTTAGGGGAGCCTGGGAATTCCCTTGCTAAGTGGGCGATGAGAATTCTTGGTCATTGGATCTGTTTCACATTCTGAACTACTTTCCAGTTATTTTGAGGTTTGGGTACAACTACCCTCGACCCACAGCAGTGTTCAGTGTCTCTTATTAATGTGAGTATTCTTATCTCACGTCTCCGCTAATGAAGATGAACTGAGTGAGTCCTTTTCCTTGTAACTGAGGGCCTGAGTAATGTAACAGATGTTAGGTGTGACTTTTTAGTTGTCTCTCCAGGAACAATGACAGCTGACAAATGTCTCTACTTCTTCGTCAGATGTAGGCTGAGACTGTGGAGCTGGTGTTAACTGGCATTCACCCTCATGTACTCCGGTGGGAGTAAAGCATCATCATGGCGTGGGCAGTGGGAATCCTTTGGGGAGGGAGCTGTCAGTGTGCCTACCTGGGGCAGGGAGAGAGAGCTCCCCCTGGATCATAAGCCAAATGAGGGGGGCTTCGGAGTTTCAAAGAAAGGGACTGGCATCAGTTTCTTTCTGACCAGAACTGGTGGAGTGAGGGGGGAAGGTGATAATAGGATTTGTTCTCCCACTGGTGAAGGAGATGAGGTGTGAATAGCTGAGGCCCATGGAAGAGGAAGTTGGACTTGGAGGGGCAAGGTGAACCCAGCAGAAGGGGCTGGGCATGGACGTAGAGGAAACTAGAGCTGAGGGGATGGCATGTATGGCCAGTTGGAGGAGATCTCACTCATACTGGTGATTACATTAGGGTGCTGGGTGGGGAGGAGGATCCCCATGAGGGAGAAGAGCCAGTGCATCTGCTGCATTGAGGCCCGCTCAGATCACAACGCCACCAGCCAGTGAAGACTTGTGCGTTGCTGTTTTACCTCCCAGCGCCCTCCCAGCCAAGCAGAGGCATGAGGGTGGAGGCAAAGGAGAGGACGCAGTGTGTTTCCCAGCAGATTGGGGGAGTAGGGAGGTTTTACCTGAACGAGAATTTGGAGAGGTACTGTTTTACCAAATTAGATTTCTTTTTTGTTGAAAAGTGACCAAAGGACTTTGTTTTCTGGGCATCTGAAGAATCTGCGAGCTTCAGACTGGGAGGGATAAGGTCTACCCAGCGGGTTTTGCAGAGGTAGACATGCTGTTGGCTTATTCAGTTCCACACTTCACATGCAGGGAATAGGACAAAGGTAAACAGTAGCTTAAAGGACTTACTTTGCTTCCTGGTTAAGTATGCTTGAACTGCTTCTAACTAAAAGATGGAGGACGAGGACACTTATATTACACTTTTGATTAACAACTGATTCCTATGCATTCAGTCATTGAACATTAAGCACCTCAATCATTTGTTGGGCCTTTGAGGGTGAATAAGAATGGGTTCTTTTCCTCAAGAACAGGCAGTCTAGTTTGAGAAATCCCAGTCCAGTCTTTTTTTTTTGTAATGTATGTTGCTTCAGAATCACTGTGGTGTTGGTTTAAATGTATTGCTGGGACCTCCCTGGTGGTGCAAGGGGCTAAGTCTCAGGACTATTAAGCTATCCCCAGCCACTGTGGCATGAGTTCAATCCCCAGCCGAGGAGCTATCCACATGGCCCAGCAGACCTCCCCTGTCTCGCCCACTGCTCCCCTCAACAGTGTATTTCAGTAGATCTGCCTGTTCTGCTTCCCACTTTGTCTCTGGTGAATCCTCTCACCCCCTCACACCTCTGGCCTATACCCCAGTTCTTGTATGCATAAATAAATAATAAATCTTAAAAAAAATAAGTGTATTGCCACCTCTGAGCCTGATTTGGTAGGTTTGCGCTGGAGCCTAGGAATCTGCATTTCAACAGGCACCTTGTTATACAGGTGAAAAATGATAATCTATAGAACTTCATCAGCACCACACAGCAAAGCAACTTTTGCTGCATTAGGTAATGCATTATTAACTGCAACAGAATTTGTCCAGGACAATGTCGCCCACATGGATAAAACAAAGTTTCTACCTGTTCTTTATTAATTCAAATGAAAACAGCTGATAGATTTGTAGAAAAGCATGTTTGGGTGTGTATAACTTATTTTTTAAAATTTTTATTTATGCATAAAAGAGCTAGATTGTAGGCCAGAGGTGCAGGGGGTGAGAGGATTCAGCAGAGACAGAGTGGAGAGCATAACAGGTGGATCTACTAAAATACACTGCTGAGGGGAGCAGTGGGTGAGACAGGAGTGGGCCATGTGGGTCGCCTCCCTGGCTGGATCAAACTCATGCCACGGTGGCTGGGGATAGCTTGATAGCACTGAGACTTCAATCCCTGTACCACCAGGGAGACCCTGGGTGTGTATAATTTAAAAGAAAGGGTA